AAAAAAAGAAAAAAAAAAGAAAAGAACAAAATGAAGATGTCTCGTGGCATCATGTTTTTAGATGGCTCTGGATACCTAGTAAGTTTTTCACTTGGCAGTATTTTGCAAATAAATGGATGGATTTACTGTAGTTTATATCTTCTTCTAGAATTTGAGTGGACCGCTAATATTCACAGCACTTTCAATCAAAATATATTATTGGAAACAAAACAAAACAAACAAATGAAAAAGCAGCATTACTGCCTTGCCTAAGAGTTTTAATCATTTTATCTTTGACAWGTAGTCCAGGGCTTGAAATTTGAGTGTGGAAACAGTTTCATGTGACTCTTTAGACCTACCACATTCCAGGAAGAGACATTTGCAGAGTGCCCCATGTTTGCACAATATGCATGTATATTGAGTACACTTACAAATTGACCAGAGAAGTTTTGAAAATGAAAAAAAAAAAGGAAATGAGAAGAGAAATGCATTTGCATGTTCCATAGTATTTGCAATGAATAATTCAGTTATATCTTCYAGTGATTTGAAGCTGCAGCAGCAACATTCAGTTCTTGAAAATAAGACAGATGAACGTGCTGGAATCTGTGTATCTAAAGATTTCAGAAGACTGAAAGGATGAAATCCAGCTGCTCAGCTGGTTCGAATCTTACCTAACCCACTTTATGAATTTTCATATGTATGTATGTTTGATTTCCTGTAGCAATGCTTCCTTTTCATATGACACACAGCCATATATTATATTGCATATTTTATGTAGGTATCATATTTTAAAATGCTCTCAAATTGAGAATTGAACATCACCTTCAAGTTTGGATTTCATCTTTAAGCACCTCCATCTGCACAGCTAGATTTTGAGCCATGTGAATTTTTTTGAGTTAAACAAGAACTTGAAAATCACTGCCTAGGTAATTTTTTCATGTATCTCAGCTCACCTCACCTGCACTATGTCATCTGGCCTCTCTAGGAAAGTTGAGTCAACAGAGAGTTCTCCTCCTTGCTGCCTGCCAAATGAGGCATGACACTGACCGAGTGTATAGTAGTAATAGTAGGCAATACGATATAAGCAAAAAGTAAAGTATGGCATTTCCAAGGGAAATCAGAACTTCATGGCAAACAGCTCACAGCACTTGCTTCCTGTTTCAGAGATTCCTAATTTGGTATTGGACAACACCATGGATGAAAACTATTTTTAGATCAAGTTTAGAGATTTTTATGATCCTCTCTGAGACTATACAGTTAGAATTTTGGAAACTAAGGTGTCAGCCAAGTAGAAGAAAGAAAGAAATCTTCTCTAAGTCATTTCCATGATGGCATGAGTGTAATTTCACCACTTACTTACAAAGGATATGGTCATAACAAATTCCAGACAATAAAAAGTACATAGTAGTTTAGACCCTGGCATC